AAAAAAAAAAAAAAAAAAAAAAAAAAAAAAAAAAAAAAAAAAAGTTTTGCCACATTGCACTCTCGACTTGGGGCATAGCCACACCACTCTCCAAATGTGAAAAAGATAAAAATGTGGCGGATGCATCTGGCCATGTTCCAGCGGGATGTTCATTCTCATTTTGCACATTTCAAGAGTGGTGTGGGGATGCCCTTGAGGCGCTCTCCGATTCAGAGGCCCGGAGGCGCACTTCAGACAGAGACTGTCCAGCACTGTCCAACATGTGGGGACGAAAAATGTGAGGAGAATGCTTATCTGCGCAGGAGTTTTCGGGTTGAAGCACAACACAGGCCAATTTCGGGGCTCGCCGGACGGTACACGAAACGAAAAAAAAAACATCTTCGTTTCGTGAACATCTCACCGTTGTCGAGCGCATCGGTCCGGCACCTCACAAGGTAGCGCGGGACCCTCCCGCCGCATCATGCAGTAGTTGGTATAAATCCTCGTCGCGAATACATAATGGAGCTTTCGCAAGCCGCTCCGCCCGAGTGCGCCAGCCATACCTATCGCGAGCCCCTACGACAAGATAGGGCCTACGCGAGGCACGACTTACCTCCACCTTACGGGAGTTGTCACCTCCCTTCGGTGGGCGTATCCCCGCCAAGCTACCAGTCCACAGTACGAAAGCTAATTAGCTGCAATCGCAGAGGTGGACCAACCGAGGGCGTTTCTCGTACGCTGTAGCATAGGGGGTACGCACGATAATACGCCTCTATCGGACCCGCACGCAGACCGACATTTTGGGGCGCTGAGGTTCCCAGCACGACTCGTCGCCAATCGACTAGGACGCATCCCACACACCGCGCGAACTCCACTCTAAAGAACATAAACAATACAAACACACACACATATACAAACATATACAGAATGACACAGAACAAACAACACGACAACACTCCTAGTCCCTTAGTAACCATCCCATAACTTTCCGATGCGGAAATCGAATGGGCGTCACGCACGAGACTCAGTATAAAACTGTGCGGGCGCAAAGTCTTCCCATATCGACTAGCAATGCATGAATACGCAAGCAGTCGCAAAGATGGCGTACTATGTAGTGCCCACAATCAAGCGGTCCTTCGTTGATCCGAGTACCGCTTTTGACACTCAAGTGTTACTCTCGAAGTATCATGAGTGTCTACTCCCTCACAATATTGCACAGCTGAAGGAATAGCCGTGCGGCCGCCGCGGCATCTCCGGCCTTTAGGCTAAGTGTCTCCGTAGGCAGGGCAAATAGGCTATGCGCGGGGGCAAATCCCTTCCATGCAGAGTCTAGGACCTGGGATGTCCTGGACAAGGACCTCGAATCCAGGCCCGGGATCAATGTCCGACTAAGAAATCTTTAAGAAACATACAACAAATAGAGGGGGTTTCTCCCTTTTCTCAGTCTCAACCCCTAATTAAGCCCTTGAACGTCGGCCGCTCAGGCCAAACGAACACCCACTACAGGTACATACATATATATATGTAAAAGGAGAAAAAGTATGTGACGATCACTCCTCACAATTACAGTGACACTCCTCACAACCATATATATGTGTGTGATCGCAGATAGTCAAATTCAAAAATCCAAGCCACCGAACATACATGCAATCACATCAAAGAGTCAACCAAACATCCATGCGCTACACGGAGTCAACTTCAACCAACCTCTATACTCATACCCCTCGCTTTAGCCATGCAAGCCCCAGCCTTTGTCCAACCAAACATAATTAAATACTCAATACC